GGATGAGGCAGCCTTGCATATCGACCTGGCCGTCGTGTTCCGCTGACCCCTGATTCAGAGAGACGAGCTCCATACAGACGCCTGTGTGTAACCCCAACGATCGCGCCGCATTGCGTCGCCAAAAAAGGCATAAGGGGGACTGTCACTATGGAGTTTAGAGCGCAGCGCATAGGGCAGCCGGCAGCCACCACGTTCGCCGCCGCCACACTGGGCCGACGGCGTAAAAAGCGCGCCACAACGAAACGGCTACTTGCGTGATACGTCCTTCTTACATCGAAGCTGTAAGCCGCTCTTAACGGCCCGGCGTCTGTTAAACGATTTTAACGCCCGTCCCCGAATCCCGTTTAAAAAATTGAAAAACAAATGAGTTATAGCTACGGATAGCGTATAAGACTAACCCAGTAAAAACGTTTTTCTTATTCTTACGTTTTTACACTCTCGCCCTTACGAAGATACTTCGTAAGAAGAGAAACTTAAGTAAATAGTGCGCCAGAAAGCACGCAAACTTTTGCCAGAGAAACTTTAATTGTCGGGCCCTGTAACGGAAATCGGACGAACCGAAGTTCTGAATATAGAAAAAAAACCTTAAAAACGTGGTGTAGATCATGTTTTGTAGGGTCTTGATATCCAAAATATCCGATTATGGAATCGATTGATGGAAAAGCATCTGTTTGTACGTCTGTAGTCAACGTAGGGCCTAAACCTTCAGACGATTTTCTCAAACATTAAATTATTCCCCGAATCCGCCCTGAACGAATTCCGAGACTTTGGGCAGTTGAAGCATATTTTGTTTTGTGGATTGTTTACATGAAGCGAGCATTCACCTTTTATACGTGTTGCACCGAGTCCGATCCTTACGGCGTTTCTGTGGTGTAGTGGTATGAGTGACGACGTATAACTCTGCAGAATCTTAGCTTCGGATCTCAGAGCGGAAATAAATTAGCTAGTTGAAAACACTTTCGCGGGATTATCAGTGAATTGATATGACGAAGGCAGTTAAACCCAATGCGAGAAAGTAATGTGCTTCGCATCCCCACTAGGTTTTTCTAAAGAGGTGTATTAGGAAAGTATTTAAACAGTCAGGTCATTTTTTAAATATCAAACAGTGTTCGTGCAGAAAGTATATTTTAGTCGGCTTATTGACGTACTTATTAAGTACAAATAGTTCAAGTAGAAACAAATAACATCTCCTTTTGAAGTGGGGCCCAAACCAAAGTTGGTAGCCCAATTTAAACAATCGAACCAAGTCGTTATTTGTAATATCGACCTGAGTAGTTCGCATATTACATTTCGTTATTCCGTCTTAATATAATAAAAAATAATAATTTAAATAAACTAACTGTGTGAAGATTTACTCTTCGATCATCTCTAATTAACAACTTCATTTGTGGCCTATTCTAACGGACGGCGAAATTTTACAATCCTCAAACGTACCGCCGCCGATTTTAAGCTGGCATTTCGTTTCTCAGTTCAGTTGCCTTAAATCGATGGATCAGTTTGTAATTAGTACAAAACAATCATTTTACATTTGACTTAACATTACAAACAATTATTTTCGCGTAACAATAAATATGATTTTGAGAATAAATTTGAATACAACCATATGAAGACGACACCTTTAAACATACTTTCCACTTGAATTAAGAACCTTGTTGGAAATCAGAAGAAAAACAAAGTTTGCGCGTTTTGTCGTTCATCGGCCCACTGTGCGACTGGCGGTAGCGCTGGAGCGGGTGGCGGAGAGGGCGAAAGAAGGTCGGACGGGGCTAGGAGGTGGGGGTGGGAATGCGCAGCGTGAAGCACCGCGCCGACTCACCGTGTGCCGCGCCCTGCTGAAGATGTTCGTCCACGTCCACGTTGTTTCTCTTGCAACAGGCGGAACGGCCGCGTTTAGCGCCAGGTGCGCGCAGTCGCAGGGGCGCAGGCGACGCGGACAGCGGAGGAACCACACGCACCGCCCGCCTACACGCCCTTCTCCCTGACTCCCGCCCATCCGCACTCTTCCTCGCTTCGTCCTTTGCCCGGAGGTCACGCTCCAAACCGGCCCGCCCTTTTTCCCGACTTACCCGTTCGTCCAAAAATCTTGGCCCATCGTTCCCCGTCTGTCCACCTCCTGCCTGCCATGAACATAAACTTTTCCTAAACCACACACTCATCCGCCCGCACAGCCTAAACGCCAAACTCACTTTTCACGTGCGTGTTTGGAGCCGTCACCTCCACCTTCATAAACCACCCACCCGCTTTGCCCGATCAATTGCTCAACCACTCATCTATCTCTCATTCGTCGTTCAGCTGTCTCTCCGCCCACTGCTGCCTGAACGTCGAATTTTCCAATCGCGTCACTCACCCCACCCGTCTGTCTATCGTCAAACATTCGCGTTATTAAGGTTACCCTGCCAAACAGCCGGCCTCATTGGCCCGACCAACTGTCCAACCACCTGTCCGTCCGTAATTACGTATATCCACCTGTCTACCAAACATCTAACTCCTAACGCTCACTCCTTCGCCAGCGCTGCCACATTGCCAACCCCACCTTTCACGCGTGTTTGGTGAGGTCGCTCCCACCTTTAACACGTTGCCAAACTGCCCTCAGTCCCTCTGCGAGTCCACCTGCCCACCACGGTGCGCTTGCACCACCCCAAAGGCGCCGACGTCCCAACCGCACGCCAACCCGTAACCAATAACCTGGAATACCACAGCCCGTCCGCTCACCGCAACCCTCCAAGTCACCCTCCCGCGAGGTATATGCACGTCCTTACTTGCCCGCCTAGACATGTATCTCTAAACCGCCAAACCACCCGTGTTCCTGTCCGACTAACCGCCCGCCCATCTCACCCGCCTTACTGCTTGCCTAAACGCTTAAATTTCCAAAGGCCCATCACTTCCTCTTCAACGACCCTTCTCGCGTTCTCCAGCCCACTGCACCCTCTCGCTATCAGTCATTCAACATCCACCAGTCCCCGCCTTCACTCTCCGCCCTCCCACCTTGGCCTTCTTTCGTTCACGCCTCGCTTAACCCCTCTCCACCATTTTGCCTTTCCATCCTCCACCCCCGTCGCGCGTTTGCATTCCGTCCTTGCTTCACCACACACTCTCCCCACGTGACGTCATACACTTCTCCCACCCATCCCCTCGAGAGTCGAGCTAGTGGTTGTAAAGCCATAGCGATCGGTAAACCCCAAGGTGCCTGGATCCCCAGTGTTGGGTATACGATACAGGAGAAGAAAGCACGTCGCTTTTCAAAGGAAGAGAAAGCGTCGAAGGGTAACAAAACAAAAGAAAAGGGATGAAAGGCTAGCTTGGTGTTCAGAGTGCTTCAGGCCAAGAGGTTGTGAGGAATAAATGATGAAGTTGGGATAGAAACAAAAACTGTACTAAGGAAAAGCGTTGAAGCAGGGCACATAAGGATTAAGAATTTGTTGCTGAGAAAGTTCAAAGGAATCTCCATACTGAAGAGGGATATGAATAAGGGAAACTTCGCACGATGATACGTTGTAAATGAGACTGAGTAAGAGATGAGAGGCCGGTAAGGTGTACGTGAAATGATTATGCCAAGAAACACTTCGAAACAAGCGCATTAGAAAACACGCGTCTCTGAAGCGTCGAAAGGGCACGGGAAGCTTGGTGTAAGTGACGGAGGCTGTGAAGTTTATCAGCAACCCCGGAGTGAAGAAGAAAAAGAGAAATCCCCCAGAGAAATTTTGATTTAGAAAAGTTTCAAAAAAGTTTGCATTCACGGAGTAATACAAGAGGAAAACACAACAAGCCTAGAAATCAGAATATACGAGAAAACAAGTGAGTCCGAAAGCGATAAAAAAAAAGAAGTGGAAGAAAATATTAGAAAATTCAAAACGGAAACCAAATTGTAACAAGAATAATGGCATTAAACAGAGATGTTGAGAGTATATCGAAATCAAATTCCACTGAAAAAGCAAAACGCATAAAAAACAGAACAGGAATGGAATTCGTCACAATATGAATTATGCTCTTAATGTAAAAGAAGTGTCTGGCTAAGAGATGGATTCTCTCAAGTCCATTATTCAAAAGTATTACACCGAAAGCAACATTTACCGATAGTTGTTTTTTTTGTCGAAGTAAAATAAATGAAATAAATACTTTAAAACATCTCTGTTTTTGTTTTCCGAAGCTTCAAGCGCCAACTCGTTTCCCGAACAGAGGGCGAGCCGAGTAGACAAGAGTGCAAGGGCGAAGACACACGCGGAAGGCGCAGGGGCGGCGGGCGTGGCGCCGGGCAGGCCACCGGGCCCGAGCCGGAAGAGGGCATAAAGTACGTCGCCTCTGAATATTTGCCCGGCGCGGCGGACGGCCCGTAACGGGCGCACGGGCGAGCGTAGCGGGCGGCCACGCAGGAAGCGTGGGCCCCGGAGACGGGCCATCGGCGGCCGCCGACTTCGCCGCCCGCCGCCCGCCGCCCGCGCATGCGCCCCCCGCCCCCGCCCTGCTTCGCCTTACGGCGAACCACTGCCCACCGCCCGCCGCCCACCACCCGCCGTTTGCCGCCCGCCCAGCCCCGGCAGTATCCCGCGGCCGCCGCCCCCCGTTTGCTGCCCGCCGCCAAGCCGCCGCGCCCCAACCCTCCGTCGCCCAAATCGCAGCCCGGCCGCCCGCCGCAGCCCTTCGCAGCCCGTCGGTCCGCTGACCTCTGACCGCTGAACCGCCTTCCCAACCCCCACTGTCCCGCGCCGTCGTCCGCCGCCGACGGACCCGCCTCCCCTTCGCTCTCTACCTCCTCCCTCACACACGCCTACTCTCCCACTTACTGTCTCGTCCGTGCGCCAGTCGCCCCCTTCCCGCCCTATTGCTTCTTCCCATTTGTGCACCCGCCTGTTCCCTCCGCTTGCCCGGCCTACTAACTGCCCGTGTCGCCCGTCTACCGGCTCTTCACTCAACCTATGGCACTCCTGGGAACCATCAACAATTTGCCGCCCACTCATCCGTCCTTGCGCGCCTGTCGCTCAGCCATTCACCTGCCGTGTCCCCACCTGTCGTCTATCGACCACCTGGCCCGCTGTTTCTCGCCTGGTCTTCAATAAATCTCCTTTTACTGCGAGGCCTACCCCAAAACTGCCCCTTCCAACCTCAAACTCCAAAACCCTCCCTTCACTTCAACTCAACTCAACTCCCTTTACCCCACTCCCTTTACCCAACCTCCTTTACCCCAACTCAACTCACTTTACCCAACTCACTTTACCACAACTCACTCTTACCCAAACTCACTCTTACCCAACTCACTTTACCCAACTCACTTTACCCAAATCACTTTACCCAAAACTCACTTTACCCAACTCACTTTACCCAAACTTCACTCTTACCCAACTCACTTACCCAAGCTCAACTTTACCCAACTCAACTCCTCCTTCACCCAACTCAACTTCCCTTATCCAACTCAACTCCCTCTACCTAACGTCTCTTCACCAAATTCCATTCACATATTCCATTCACCAAACTTACTTCATCCCAATTTCCCTCCACCTCTCTACATCCAACGCTCCTTTCCCCAAACTCTTACTTCACCCATTTTTTTTCACCCATTTCCTCTCCAACCCATTTCGCTTGAACCCCCAAACCCCCCATTACCTAACATCAACCTAACATTACCCTTTGCTCCTCCTCCCCGTGTTCCAAAAACTCCCGCCTCTCGCCAGTCCCCCCCCACCCTTCGCGGCGCGACGCGTCGCCGTAAAGGTATTTCCAGGGGCGCGCGCGTCGTAAACATCTCGGCGCCCCGTCTGGCGCACGGGCACAGCAGGCGCCCGCAACTCTCCCCATCAAAATTGGCGACAAAACTTGAGGTTGCTACCTATAGGTTGTGCTAGTGTCGCCTCAGATACAGCTACTGGTTAAGGCTCGCCAACTTTCACCATATACAAAATTGGTTCAAGAAATAGGAGTACACTTGATTATGAGCGATTCCTTGAAAATAAAATTACCAAAAAGAAAGTGAAAATACTATGTGTTTATCCTTCTAACAATATCATGTTATTTCATAATAATACACGCCATGAAAGAAAAAGTTAACGCGAACAGCGGCGCTGATTTTATGTATCAACGCGTGTGCTTTGCCGTCCCGAGAACCCACGCACGTTTTAAATAACGTCCTGACCGGTAAACAATCCGTATTTTAGTTACGTGTAGAAGTGATGCTCTAGAGCGCGTTACTGTTACATGGCCCCCACCCCGTAATATGCGGAATTATTAGGGCCCCTGGGGCACAGGCAGCGAGAATAAGGAAGCGCTCGCAAACGGCAAACTGTCCTCGCGATGCTTTCTACGGCGCCTCCCCCCTTTGCACCTGCATATTGCCGCCCGCTGTCGCCTTCCCAAATAGGAATGCCGTATTTGCGTCTGTGTTGGTGCATTACGGAGTTCGTGTAAAAAATGTTGATGATTTAGAAAGCACGCTTTGGAACTTCGATAAGGAATTGCATATTGGGAGTCAACGTATTGAAATACTTTCCGATAATATTTTTGGTTGAAATTTTCGGATAATACTTTAATTGGAGTCATGTCGGTTAACTTGCGATGTTATAATCGTACTACAATCGTCTTAGGGGACCCTTAAATCCAACCGCTAGTTTAGTAGCTAATATATTGACATTTATAAACATTATCCTAAAAGGGGTTAGTTATATCAATATTATCCAGTTTAAATCTAATATATTGAGGGCTACGTCCAAGTAAAATATAAAGTTATTTGAAAAAATGTTTTCAGTCTTGACATTCGAACTATAAAGTCCCCTGTACTCTATCTTAATTAAACTAATATTTTCTTTATAACACAACAAAATGTTATGAAATAATTGAGTTCTTTAACAAAATAATAGAAACCAACGTATTCTTCTTGATCAAGGAAACATAAAATATTGCTTAATATTGCTAATATCTGAGTTTCTCAGTAAACATTTATTGAACATTCGATCATCAAATCAACTTTTGCAATGACCAAATACTCATAACTTTTTATTTTATCGCCACATTTTTTTAGTTTTGTGATTTCTTTATTTTAATATTTTTATTTTATACACTATGGTAAAGGTCTCGTAACCAGAAGTAGTATCGCTTCGATACTCATAACAGACGATGTATTCCCATTACAGTCATATTGTAACCTAATTCGAAGTCTGAACGCCGAAATAGCGACATAGTTTCTATACAGGACTGATGGACGCAGTATAGAAAACGTATAGGTTCAAACATATAAGCATTGTGAGGTATAAATAGGTTTGTAACAAAATGTGAAAAATATTGCACGGCAGTGAAAGTTTGCAAGCTACGAAAACGTGTCCAGCACATTAAGAGCATCGTGAAAGAGTTCAGAGAGCGTCATCCATGGTAAACTAAAGATGGATAAGTAGGTCACGTTGCTGTGCGGAATCGAGGCAGTGGGTTGGTCGCCAGAGGGCTGTAGGACACGAGCATAGCGGTTAGTACTGCTGTGAAATGGCATTTAATGAAGTGTTGAAAGTAGTTGGTAAGTGTGATGGCATGACCGTAAAAGTGAGACCGTGGAGGACGCGATATTGATCCCTGTGGAGTCAGAGCGAATGGGATGTAGTCAGATGTGGTGTCGCCGAGAAAGGGACGTAGAAAGAATAGTTGTACTGACAGAGGTGGGGTCCGTGGGGTTTGATGAGTTGCGCATGGGTTGTTGCGGCGGTAGCTGATGGGTGTGAAGTGCCTGGGATGAAGCGCGGGCGTCTATATTTGTGGGGCGTTGGAAAAGTGTTTGTGAGAGTGTTGTGGTCTGGTGAAGAGCGGTTGAGTTGATTAAGTACGGTCCTGTAGAGTGTGTTTAATGAGATGTACATGAAGTATGGTATGTGACGGGTTGTAGTTGTTGAGTGCTTGGGAGTAGTGAAATATAGAAAAGCAGATAGGTGTGGGTGTGTGGGATGGTGACATGTAGTGAGAGGAAGTTTGGCGAGGATGCGTCAGTTCTCAGGTGTGGCGGTGTTGTTGGTGAACGATGTCCTTGATGTGAGGTATGATGGGTGAGGTAGTTCGTGGAGAGGTGTGACGAAATGTGTTAGAGATGGGTAGTTGATGGGGGAAATGTTCGGTGATGGTATAGTCAATTGTGGGGCTGCGAGTGGGGTATCGATAAGATGTATGGTTGCAGATGTGGAGAGATGCTTAGGTGTGGATGAAATTGGTGTTGTGAGGTGTGTCGTGATGAAATGTGATCAACAGAGAGGTGAAGGGGAGACCGCGGTGGGTGAGTATGATGACATGTGTGGGAGTTGTGGCGAGATGCTTCGGATTGGATGTGGTGGGTGAATATCGTAGTGTGGTATGATGGGGTGTGTGTATAGCGTATGAAGCAGGTGTGCACGAAATGTTTAGTGTTAGTGTGATGGAATATGGTGAGGTGTGGTCAGATGTGGAATGTGTGGGGTATGATAGATGTATGTTTGAGTTTGTGGCAATGTGTTAGTGGGTGTGGCGTATATAATGAATGGTGGTGTGGTGGGATGTGGCTGTGACGAAAATGTGTTTTATGTGCAGTGTATGGTGTGCGAGCGTGTGCTCAAATGATGCGAGTTGGTGAGGTATGATGAAGTATGGTCGGGTGTTGCGAGAATACGTGTTAGGGTGTGCGGGGTGTTGGTGTGGTGTGATGTCCGTGACGTCTTGATGTGATAGAGTCGCGGTCGGATTGTGGCTGAGGCGTTGTGGTGTGTACAGATGTGACGCATATGTGTAGTGTGGGTGTGACAGGGTGAGCGTCTGTTAGGCGGGCAGTGATGAATTAGGTACGTTTCGTGGCGCGCGTGCGCGCTGCTGGCGTGGGCATGGGCGTGCAGGCGTTGGGCGTGGCGGCGGTGGCGTGGGCGTGGGGTTGGGGCGTGCGGTTTGCGGGCGTGGGCGTGGGTGTGGGCGTGGGGCCGCGCGGCCGTGTGGCGTAGGCGTGGGGCCGTGAAGGCGTGGGCGTGGCGGCGGGTGCGCGCCGCCTCACTCGCGCCGGCAGCAGCGGGCTTCCGCTGCGGGGCGCCAGCCGCCCGGGGCCGCTCCAGATCTTCTCCAGATGGCTCTGCAACAGGCGGCGCGCGCGACTCATAAAACGGACGCAGCTCTGGGGACGCTCTCCCTCTGACCCACACCTCAAGACATCTAACCACAGCACACACACACCTAACACATCTCGCTACACCACACCATCATACCCCACCACACTCCCACATCATATCATACCCCACGATTATAACAATCGCCATCATACCCCACCACCACCCACATCTTATCATACCCCACCACACTCCACAGCTGAGCACACGCCATCACACCCACACCTAACACATTTTGTCACACCTCTACATACCACACCCACCACACTCCATCATACCCAGACCGCACGAAATCTCATCACACCCACCATAACACATTTCGTCACACCTCTCCACACCCCACCTCACCACAACACGCCCACCGCACTCCAGCATACCCACACCTTACGACATCTCACCACACCACGTCCACACCTAATGCATCACACCACACCTCACCATACATCTCATCATACCCCACCGAACCCCATCACACATTCACCTCTCTCTTCCTCACTTTCCTTCACCCCAACCCTTCACGCTACACCCCATCACATATCGCTATACCTCATCACACCATACCACACCACAACCCTCACCTG